TCTGGTGGATTTGGAGGTTCTGGGGGGCATTTTGGGGAGATTCCAGAGGGATTTGGGAGTTTTGGGGGGATTCTGGGGGAATTGGGGGGTTTTGGGGTGCATTTGGTGGGATTTGGGGGGGATTCTGAGGGGTTTTGGGGTCCCCCAGGGCAAGTTATGGGGCATTTTGGGGCAATTTTGGTGGATTTGGAGCCCCCAAGGTGCATTTTGGGGGGATTTGGTGAGATTTGGAGGTCCTGGGGTGCATTTTTGGGGCGATTTTGGTGGATTTGGAGCCCCTGAGGTGCATTTTGGGGGTTATTCGGTGAAATTTGGAGCCCTCAAGGTGCATTTTGGGGCGATTCGGGAGGGATTTGGGCCCCGAAGGAATTGGAGCTCCCTGAGGTGGCTTTTTTCCTCTCCTGGAGGTATCTCAAGAGGTTCAAGGTGATGAAACCCAAAGTTTTACGGAGCTGGTGCCGACAGATCCTGAAGGGTCTCCACTTCCTTCACACCCGGACGCCCCCCATCATCCACCGGGACCTCAAATGCGACAACATCTTCATCACCGGACCCACCGGGTCGGTCAAAATCGGAGATTTGGGCTTGGCCACCCTCATGAGGACCTCCTTCGCCAAGAGCGTCATCGGTAAGAGGTCACCCAAGCAACGGGGGAGGTTTGGTTGACCCCCAACGATGGTCTTCACATGGTGTCCCCACCTCAGGGACGCCGGAGTTCATGGCGCCGGAGATGTACGAGGAGAGGTACGACGAGTCGGTGGACGTCTACGCCTTCGGGATGTGCATGTTGGAGATGGGCACCTCCGAGTATCCCTACTCCGAGTGTCAGAACGCCGCCCAGATCTACCGCAAAGTCACCAGCGTGGGTTCTCCGGTGGCACCTGGGTGGTCCCCGGGCGTGGGGGTGTCATCATCATCCATGGTGGCATCATCACCATCCATGGGGTCATAGTCGCCATCCGCGGTGGCATCATCACCATCCATGGGGCATCATCGCCATCCGTGGTGGCACCATCAGCATCCATGATGGCACCATCAGCATCAAGGTGGCATCAGCACCATCCATGGTGGCATCATCATCCATAGTGGCGTCATCATCCATGGTGGCATCATCACCCTCCATTGTGGCATCATCACCATCCATGGTGGCATCACCACTATCCATGGTGGCACCATCACCATCAAGGTGGCATCATCACCATCCATAGTGGCATCAGCAGCATCCATGGTGGCATCAACCATCATCCCTGATGGCATCATTACCACTGTGGTGGCATCACCACCATCCATGGTGGCATCATCACCATCCATGGTGGCAACTCAAACCAGTGGTGGCATCACCACCATCCATGGTGGCATCATCAGCATCTATGGGGGCATCATCACCACCGTGGTGGTACCATCACCACCATGGTGGCATCGTCACCATCCATGGTGGCATCATCAGCACCATGGTGGCATCACCATCCATGGTGATGTCATCACCACCATGGTGGCATCATCACCATCCATGGTGGCGACCCCAACCAGTGGTGGCATCACCACCATCCACGGTGACATCACCCTCCATGGTGCCATCATCACTGTCGTGGTGGCATCATCATCCATGGTGGCATAGTCACCATTCATGGTGGCACGATCACCTTCAAGGTGGCATCATGACCACCGTGGTGGCCTCATCACTATTGTGCTGGCATCACCCTCCATAGTGGCATCATCATCCATAGTGGTATCACCATGTATATTGGCAACACCATCCATGGTGGGATCATCACCATCCATGCTGGCATCTTCATCCATGGTGGCATCATCATAATCGTTGGTGGCATCATCTTTATCCATGGTGGGATCATCCCCATCCATGGTGGCATCATCATCCATGGTGGCCCCATCATCCATCATGGCATCATCATCCATAGTGGCAACACCATCCATGGGGGCATCATCACCATCGTGGTGGCATCATCTTCATCCATGGTGGGATCATCATCATCCATGGTGGCAACATCACCCTGGTGACATCCCACCGCCGGTCTTCTCCTCGTAGGGCATCAAACCAGCCAGTTTCGAGAAGGTGACGGACCCGGAGGTGAAGGAGATCATCGAAGGCTGCATCCGGCAGAACAAGGCCGAGAGGTGGGACCTCACCCCGGGGGACGGGGACAACCCCCAAGGTGCCACCACCACCACCACCACCTTGACCACGCCCTGTCCTTCAGGCTCTCCATCCGGGACCTCTTGAACCATGTCTTCTTCGCCGAGGACACGGGGTTACGGGTGGAGTTGGCGGAGGAGGACATGGGGGTGGAGACCTCCTTGGCCCTTCGTCTTTGGGTGGAGGACCCCAAGAAGTTGAAGGGGAAGCACAAGGACAACGAGGCCATCGAGTTCAGCTTCAACCTGGAGGCCGACGTCCCCGAGGAGGTGGCTTACGAGATGGTGAGAAGGTCAAAGAAGAAGGTTTGGGGGGGACAACCCAAAATGTGGGGTGGGAAACCTCCCCGAGATCCATGGGAAGCTCCAAAATGAGCTTCAAGGCAATGGTTGGCTCCTCAAACTCTTCTTGAAGCTCTTCCAAGGTCAAGGACACCCCAAAATTGACCATGAAACTCACGGTTGGTCCCACCAAACTTCTCTAGAACCTCTCCCAAGGTCAAGGAGACCCCAAAATTGATCATGAACCCTATGGTTGACCCTTCAAACAACTCTTGAACCTCTTCAAGGTTCTCAAGGTCAAGGAGACCCCAAAACTCATCCATGAACCCCAGAGTTGGTCCCTCAAACTCCTCTCGAGCCTCTTCCAAGGAATCCGATGGGCTGGGGGAGAACGGGGCCATCTCCGATGTCACCCGGGGTGGCACCGGGGCACCCGAGCTCCTCGGGGGGTACCAAGGAGGGGCACCAGGACCCCCCCAAGATGGGGTGTCCCCCCCTCGTGGCCAACAGGTGAGTCCTGGTGGCACCGGGGAGGGTTGGGGACAAAGGGGGGGACAATGTCCTCACCCCAACGTCTTGCCCAACAGGTGACCTACGGGGCGGAGGGGACAGCGGTGGACGTCGGCGGAGGTGCCACCACCGCGGGGGTGACGGAGCCACCCGTCGGGGACGGGGAGGGGGGGGTGACGTCATCGGTGGGGGTGGCACGGCTACAGCCGGCTCCGGGGGCACCGGGACCCGTGGTGGCA